ATATATATATATATAGTCTATTTTTAAGTGATGCTAAACTCAGAAGTTATCTATTAAAAATGCATTCAAGTACCTTTAACTATTAACAACTTATATCTTATTTGTCTATCATTCGGCTGTAGATCCCCAAATCATCTCTGAATTGGTGCTGACACTGTCCTTCCTTCTGGAGGGGGGCTACTTTTGTTCCCCATGGTCCATGTGTGTGTTGTAAAGTAGCCACCACTCCAAGCTTGCTCCTGTGATGGACTTCAATCTCATTGTTAGTTTACTAATTTGTATTGAGATTGTAGTCCATCACAGGAGTGAGATTGGAGCGGTGGCTACTTTACAACACACTCAGGGATCATGGGGGACAAAAGTAGCCACCCTCCAGAAGGAAAGACAGCGTCGGCACCAAGTCAGATGATTTGAGGATCTACACCTGAGTGATACACAAATAAGATGCATTTTTGTTCTAGTTGAGGTACTTAAATGTATTTTTAAGGTTTAACTCCTGAGTTTAGTGTCACATTAAGTCTGCTTCACACTGTTGTGTTTCCCTGTACAATGTTAGAATGGCTTAAAAGCTTGTGATGCATACATTTTTTACTTCAGTTAATCTACTCACAAATGCACAGTGATAAGTGGTATGTCAAACTGCATGCTAAAATTAGGTTGCACACAAGTCCTGACAAGGCCCATTGGATCTGATGTAGGCATATACAGCAAATGGCTTAATGTAAGCATCTCCTAAAGCAAGGCAAATGAAGCTATGCTGTGATAGAAAAAGGAACAAGCGGATGATTACCTTTTTAGTTTAAACTACTTGATGAAATGGTTAAGTATATGGAAGGATACAGCCAACTACGTTTGCAACTCATGTCATTTTCCATTGCACTGGCTTGCTCCTGCTCATCTAGCCCCACTTTAGGCAATTTCAATGCAGGCATTAATCAGTTTGGCTGAGGAGAAACCTGTCTTGTCTGATGATAGATGGGGCCAAACAAGGAAGAAACCTTTTGGGTATTCCTCATTTTGGGAAAACTCAAGTTAAAGTAAATTTGGATATGGCCTAAAATGTTTCTAACGCCGTATGAACTGCTGACGTGCAGGCCCCAAAAGGTAGTGTTACCTTTTTAGAAACATTTTTGGGAGCTTCCCAGTGTTCTGAACATGGCCAATCTTAAGGGAACTGCACTTGAGCACCGTTGCCTTAGAAACATTTTAGTCCACTTCAATTTGACTTAAATAAACCTGTACTAAAGAATGGAGGCTGTCATTGTTGGTATGTCCCTCTGAAAATACCAGTTCCTAGTTCTGCTGATCCTTTAGCACTATGAATCACTATCCTGGAAAAAGTATGTAGATCCGCAGATTCTAAAATGTCCTGATTGGCTTGCTTGTCCTGGATCTATGTCTCAGAAGGTGTTGAAGCAAGAGAAAGCCAGGCAACTAGTGTTTTCAGTGACCACCTACATATTTTTCTTGGTACATGCTTCCTTCAGTTCAGCAAGTAAATGCACTGTAGGTTCACAAAAGAGCACAGTCCATACATTTTCAAAATGCCTAAATGTATCTGACTTTGGGAATTTAACAGGGCTGCCGGTGATTTGGAAAGGCAGTTGTGTAGATAAACCCTATAAGAGCTCATCTGTTTGGCTTTATTTATTACAATTCATGTTTCTATTTTGATTTGCTGCCTTGCACAATTGTTCTGTGGTTCCTGAATTATAGCCTGTTGTAGTTCAGGGACTGAACGCTAATGCTTCTTGAATGGAAAGAAACCTGAATAACACTGAAAACTGATCTCCCTCCCAGCACTATATTGACTTTTATTCGCTTCTAATTTTGTGTCCTGTTGTCAGAAGGTAGAACTGTAACCTGCATGTTGATAGATTTTACAGTAATGCCTTTCATCCAAAATCTGGTGTTTTCTTTATTGCAATGTGCTGCTTTTCTCACAAGCTTATATGTATATGTGTTCATCAGGAAACTCTGTTCTATAAATACTACTTCAGTCTGTTTGAGCATCAACGTAACTAGGCTGTGCATGCGCCTTTTTTTACATTTCTTTTCTTTTTGGTTCCACATACTAACTATTTTGCTTGCTTTTCCCCCTCAGCTTAATGGCACGTACGTTTCCAATTCCACCAATAGCACCATGCGTTCTGCATTCAGTGGGACACTATGCCACTCTCCTGTGTCACGTCCACCTCCTAGTGGTGGCAAGGTCAGTTTAAGGCAACATGAAAACTTTTATTCTTCCAGCTGAGCCAATGTATAAAATGTTAATTTACCTGTCTTTTTGTAATGATCTGATTCACATGGACAGCCTTATTCAATGACCAATTGTATATTTTACTTCAATACTGTTTCCTTTACCTCCAGCCTAACAATCTTCTTACGGTTTCACTTTACTGGTGCTGGCTTGGCCAGACTGTGTGGGTGCAAGATGGTTTATAATGGTGACTTTCATCAGACACAAAGTGTATTCCTTCATAGCCATTATTGGTTGGAAGTGCTCAAGTGACCCATTCCCCCAGCTGTGGCTCATTTCTAACTCCTGCACTGTTGTGGGGGGAATGTGATATGTCCTTTAGCAGACTCCTGGAGCCAGTTTCCTTTCTGTATTAATCTATTGCAGTCAATAGGCCATGTTATGCAGTGTCCAGACATGCTAGTTATTTTGCCTTCTATTAGGCACGTCCCTGTGTCCAAACAGAAAATTCTGCCAGTGCAGACACCTGCAGTAACCTTTTGATCATGCTCCAATCCATTTCTGTGCAGGTGGTTACCCCCTACATTGCATAAACCATCTATACAGAGAGCCTCAACTTCTACCATCTTAGACATTACCGGCATCACCTACAATTAGCAGTCCAGTGTGCGCTTTTACTGGCAACTGAGGCTCTGTTATTGGTTTAGGGAATGGTAGGCGTGGGACATAGCTCCTTATATAGGATATATAGCCTAATAGCAGGCTGTTCGTATTAAAGTCCAACTGAATTTTCTGTTTATTAGCTAAATACATAGGTGCATTAAAGCAAAAGGTGTTTACAGGTCAGAAAAATGCCTGTTCCCTACCGGCTTGCTTTAGAGAAGGTCCCTTCCTTTGTGTGGAAGCAGTGGTCTTTCTATAGAGCCCTCCAGTCAGTAGGGAGCATTAGCTTTGCCAATTGCTATAGGTGTGACTCAGCAAGGGGATTGTTGGACCTTTTGCAGAGACACCACTGTTCCTACACAGTGATCAAGGGTCCCTCTCTGTGACTGCTGGCAGGTAACTGGCTTCTCCTCTCGGACTGAGGCTTCTGTTTTAAATGAAATGGTTTTGTCTCTTTTACTGTTTTTTTTTTTTTTTTTTTTTTTTTTTTTTTTGTTTCTTTACAAAATTTTTTTTTTCT